AATTACACACAGCTAGATTCTAGTTAATAATTAGGGGACTTATAAAGACAAGTGGCACTTAGATTTGATTTGAGGAGTTAAGTAAGATATATGAATACAAATGCTTGAAAACCTTCAAAAGGTTATAGGTTTATCAAGGTTCTATGGCAGTTTAATTGTAATCATGGAGATACAATCAATCCATCCATCCATTTTCTAACACCCTTGTCCCTTGTGGGGTTAGGAGGGTGCTGGTGCCTCATTGAGATCCTACATTTTGTTAATTTACTTGTCTTTCCAGTCCAACCTTTAAGCATACAGGTGTGCTGGGTGTGTCTTTTCCAGGTGAGTGTACTGTGATGGGCATACCAAGTGTCACCACCAATCTGTCAGGGTTTGGCTGTTTCATGGAGGAGCATGTCTCAGACCCTGCTGCCTATGGTAATACACACACAGACGCCTCAATGCTCCATCTTTTTCTTCTCAGGTCAGTGTTCCTTCAAACCTCTTTTCTGTCGTAGGTATCTACATCGTGGACCGTCGGTTCAAATCTGCTGAGGAGTCCTGCAATCAGCTGACCCAGTTCATGTTCAGTTTCTGCCAGCAGTCTCGACGTCAACGCATCATCCAGAGGAACCGAACCGAGAGGCTGTCAGACCTGCTGGACTGGAGATACTTAGGAAGGGTCTGTTTCTAACACACAGAGAAACAGTTTAACTGCAGGAGAGGCGTTGGTTTTATAATGACTTATCACTCACAAATACGTTCCAGTAGATGTGTGTAATGGTGTTTCCAAAAACAAAAAAAATATGACAAGCAGTTACAATCTAATGACTAGCCTGACGTTTCCTTTTCTCTGCTGGAGATGTGCAAGTGATCCACAGTTTAACTTTGTGTTATTGTTGCCAACAAATAAATCTCAAAAAGTCTTTTGGAGTGGGATTGTGTCAAGCAGCATTAATTAAATTAACAGTCCCTACAAAAAGTACCCCTGTGATTTTTTTTTTTTTTACTTCATTAGTTTTTTTTTTCCCGGATCAATCAACGATCAATAAAAATAAGAAAGAACTGATTGCATTAATATTCACCCTTTCAGTGAAAGAGTATTTATCAGCTGGCTCTCTGTGTGGATCGCTCTCAGGCTGCACTTCTCCTCCATTCTTCCAGATAAACTGCTCCAGCTGTCAGATTTGTAGTTTAGTCCCTTGACATTGAGCATCTGTCTCTTTAAGAAGCTCCTCCTCTTTCAGACTCTTCACCTTAAGAATGTTGTCACAACAATGCTCCTCCATTATCCCAGTTACAACCATTAGAAGTGATGGATGAGAAGTAGTTTGTAAGATGAGTTCAGAGAAAACCTGGTGGAACTCCTCCAGATGTTTTCTTAGTCTGGTGGAGCTGAGTGGGGAAGGCAGCTCCAAACATCAAGCCTTTAGGTACCCCTGAATGGTTGCCATGGGAGATTCAAGGATTTCTCAAACATGCAAGACATACTCAAACCAAAACTGCATGATGTTGATAATGAATAACATTATAACATGGTGTAAAGTTTTTAAATAAAAAAAGTCAATTAGCATAATACTCCCCTTTAAATAATTTTATTTGTCATATTTTTATAGAAACTGTGAACTGTTAAGAGAATAAAATCATTAACTTCTGGCTCATTATATTCTCTTGTGCTCCAGGATTCAATGATCCCATGCGTGGAAACAAAAGCCACACAGAGATGACAGTCAGCGCTCCACGTCATATATTTTCAGAGTTTATTCTAACATTTAAAAGTATAAAATCACATTGACAACCAGAGACTTCAAACACACTAAAACAGACCTGAGACAAATTGAAAAGAAGAAGAAGAAAGAAAGAAAACCAAAGACGTCTTTGGAGAAATTGCAAAGAGCAAAATCTGATTTGTTACTCCTTTGTACAAACTTTTATAGTAAAGGCGTATTCTTGTCTTTAATTTATTCAGATAAGGCGTATCTTTGCTCAGCCAACCAGGAGCTGTCTCGGACCCTCTTAAAAGTTAGAAACCACCTACAATTTGTTTTCAAGATCAAACACCAGTTGTCTCCTTTATCTAAACAAAGTGGAAGCAGAGCTTCTCCTCCACTGGCCTGAACTCCTGCTGTTTTACGGCTTTTCACAGATCAGTGTGAAGCTGGAACTTCTGTTTCTTTCCCACACAGACAAAGGGCAGATCAACAGATCTTAGCAAACAATCTGCTGTAACTACAGGTAACATAAAGGTCAATAGGGCAGAATAAGTTATTAATCTGAAAACTATAATTAGGCTATTTCAATCAAGACATGTTGCTAAGTTTTGAAACTAGCATATTTTAAATTTATTTTCTTAACAGAACCCAAAGGGTTTTGGGGGAAAGTGTCAAATTTTGTTGATCATAATTGATTAGTAAAAGCAATAAATGATAAAACATCAAAGGGAGTGAGGACCTTGTACAGGGAAGATACATTTACAGTGTTAACTTGATTTTTGTTTCAAAATGAAATTGAACAGCAAGAATTTTCAGTGTTTGATTAGCTGTGGTTATTTTTACTTTATAAAAAAAGCTAAGTAAAAAATAAACTAATACATGGACAGAGTAAAAAAACTACATATAAGATGTTTTGATGGACTTTTTTGGCATCTATCATTTCTTGTGACAGTTCTACACACACGCCCGTCATCTGGCACTTAGCAGAAGTTTCCCAGACAAATACAAGATGGACAACAAAGGCCCTCTAAAGGCAAGTAAAGAACTCCCATAAGGGAGTTGAAATGTTTCCCTTTTGTGTGGAGTTTCTCCAAAGAGCAGGAAAGAGTTCATCTTGATTTAATAAGAGATTCTGAGGTAAGGTCAGCCATATTTGTTTCCTATTTAAAAAACTGCTCTGGGTAAAATGATCACATAAAAGTTGTAGATGGAAAGACTGCTAATGAAAAGGACATTCTGTGTTGTCTTCACAGACTGAGGGTTTCCGTTATCCTCGGCCAGCTTCAGTGCCTCCGTCTCCCTCTGCCTCCCTCCATTCCACCCCACACCACAGTGATGAGGAGGATGATGATGATGAGCCATACAATGAAGAAGAGGAGGCAGAGAGGGACCGGTTGAACATCAAGGCTCCTTTTATGCTGGGATCAGTGCCAGAAGGCAAGAAAAAGCAGCCAGGAGAGTCAGGGAATTAAAATAAATAATTTAAGTTCAGAATCGTTCCTGGTTCCACCGACTGCCCAACACATTCAATAAACTTAGAGATTAAATAACAACTATCATTTTACTTCTTTCACACAAATAACTTAGTTGTATCAGTCAGGATGCACAAACAAAAAGATTCTGTTCAAAATATTTCAGGAAATTATTGGATCTGTCTAAACTTTATTTCATAAACATACACAATGTCTTTGTTTTTTTTATCAGGCAAAAGCTATGAACTTCTGAAATTTAAACCTCTCTTTGACTCTTGCTGTTTCTCTATAGTTGGCTACATCAAACAAACCTACAGACCCTACAGAACCAGAACCAAACATGAAGGGGAGCATTCAGTTTTCATGTTCCTCTAATCAGGAACTACCCTCCAGAAACACTAAGATCCTTTAACTCAAGGATAAAAACCCAAACGGCTCGGCTGCTTTTGACTGATAATACCTGGAACATTGATCCATATATCTGATGTACATTTCATGTCAACGATCCTTGATTTTGATTATGCTATTTGGAAAAATATAATGTTTGTTGGTTGTTTGCTGTTGCCAACATAATTAGTGTGTCATGTTTTGATCATGTAAAGCAGTGGCCCCCAGGCCCCGTCCTCAGGGCTCACAGAGGACATGTTTCAGATGCGTCATTCTCCAGCACAACTCAGTGTCCCCCTTTGCCTGCCTGTAAAAACCTGGTAATCACCCATTCATTCATGCCAGGTGTGCAGCAGCAGGTCGGTGCCCCATCAGGTTCTCAGAGCTCTGATGCAAACGACTTTGAACTGCATTGCTGCTGAAATGTGCTACGCAAATAAACTTGACTTTTACACATTCACTGTTAATGGATGCAGATTGTATGAATGGGAAGTGGTTTTATTTCAAACATTTAAGTCAACCTCAGACCTAAAGTGCAATAATCCCCAAGTGTTTATTAAAATATCATTTTAAACACAGTGAGATAATTCATATTTACAATGCAGCTTTTTAACAGTGTTGCACCAAACACAAATACAAAAATGATGAAATATGATGATTATTGTTGATGTCAGAAGTATTCTCTCTTCCACACTGGAAAATACACCTCGTCTGGAGCTTCGTCAGCTAGGAGAAAAAAAAGAGACAAACATTATATCATAGAACATGAAAAAGCCTCAGCCAGTTCTGGAGAACAGAACAGCGAATAACTTATGAAACAACGTCAGAAAACAAGCGGTCAGACTGAGTGGTCACCTCCCTCTCTGGCTTGCTGCAGGATCTTGAGCAGCACTGTAGCTGCCTGGCCAACACTCAGCTTCTCTGTGTTTTGACTGCGGGTCTCTGAAGGAAACAAAAAACAAAAAGCGCACACACACATCAGAAGTCCTCTGAACAGCCGAGTTCTGATTTCAGGTCTGTGGTGGACCGTGAGAACTCTGACTATTCTCAAACTATGAACACAACTTGCTAGAATGAGCATTAATTTAGCTTCACTATGAACCAAATAAACATTGTTGTACCTAAGTGTAGCGTGTCATAGACATCTCCTTCCTTTCCATCCTCAGAGATGAACCTACGACCCTCTGACAAAAAGTATTACAAGTCAGTTTCATTTCGTTAAAAATGTATTTATTTTTTCCTTTAAATGTTGGCACAACAGTTTGGATCAAACATGGCCATTCTGAATACATTGTCCAGCTGTGTTAGTAAAAATAAACTATTCATTAAAATATTTGAGCTTGAATATTATGGCATAAAGTGGCTCATAAATCTTTCCTTGAACATTTTCACATTTCATCACATTATAACCACAGCCTTCAGTGGAGTTCAGTAGGGTTTTATGTGATAGATCAACACAAATATTGGAAAACTTATGAATGGTGGTGTTAGAGTTAGACCAAAATCCAAACAGGAAATCAGGATAAGCATGTATAATGAAGGTATTATGCAAAATGGAAGTTTACAGTAACATAAGTTTAGTGTAACATAAGCTGCATATTATGTTACAATGTCATTCCGTCATCAAGCACATACTCAGTGTGTTGCATGACCTAATGGTCCAAAAGAGGATCCTGTATTTGAGGGGTTTTAATTGTATTTAATATTAAAGTATTGTTAACACCAGACCATTATGAATCATGCTATAGTTATATTTATTGTGTTCATGTAAAGTTTCCTGTCTGGCAAGAAGACTGACTCACTTCACTCTAACCAAATCTACCTGATGGTATAAATAGAACTGAGTGATGGATAAATGATAGATTGATAGATTGATTCAGTGAAGGCAGATAGTTAAGAAAACATGGAAGCTTAAAGCTAAAGAGAAGCAGACAAAAAGTATCAAATTTCCTTCTAAACTTACAAAGAATGGCGAATCAAAGCTAACAAAGAACAATAAACAGGCAATATTTAACGATAGATATTGGTGGTTACTATAGCAGACAGATGGTTGCAACAGTTACAATAGAAACAGTACTGGGAAGGTTTCAATCCTGTTGTTTCTATTGCCAACTCTTTTCCTTTTTCACGCTGAATGATTTCCTCTGATTACTTTGTGTGCATGTTCAGTCTGTGCTTTGAGCCTCACCCAGTCAGTGCAGCCCACCTGACAGTAACATAATCATGTCTTAAGAATGAACTTGATCACAAATGTATTTCTATACAGTTGTGTAAATAATTTGAATTAGCATTTTAAAAATGTGATCATTTTTTTTATTTTGTCTTGACATTTGGATTTTTTTCCCCAATCTTTAATTAGTTTGATCATTATTTTCTATTTACTGGATGTTGATTGACACCAGTGTCCTCATCACAGATCAGAGCTTCAGATCACTTTCTCTCACTGCTTGTTCTGGCAAACACAAACATCTTTCAAAAATATTTTCCCATTAGTCTGATAACATTACACACTTGTCAAATGACTCATTGAAGACCAGAAATGTGACAAAATGTGAAAAGGTTTCAATGATATGAATAAATGCGTACAATGATATAGTTTTAAAATAATATTAAACCCTAAATGTCAGTCATTAAAAGACCAAATACATACGTGTTCCTTTTAAGTACAACATCGCCTGCGGTGTCCAGTTTCTTCGTTGAAATGAGCCCTGAAGAAAAAACAAAGAAAGTTTTATCCAGTTTTTAATTTGGCAATTTAACACTTTTGTTCATTACAGTAAATCCTCCCAAAAAGAAACAGTTACTTTTGGCACGCTCCATGAATGTGAGATGAAGGATGCAAGCAACAAAAGGGTGAGCAGATTGGTTAACGTGAAGCCCCTCAGACCCTGTGGGATACAGAGACAAGTCAAAAAGAGAGCTGCAACCATCACCCTGCCAGCTTCTACAAAATTATTAAAAACTTGAATAAAGCCCTTGATTCATCCATATATGAATAAAGAATAGCTACACCATAAAAATGGTTAGATAAAATATTTGGATCTGAAAGCTCAGTGAAATATTTGAGGAAATTATAAGGTTGAGAGTCAATTTTCTTCTAACAATTTAAAACTGTTTTGTGTACCATTTTTGTACTCTACAAAATAATGGCAAAGGTTCCACTAAATGTTCCATTAAACTAGAATGTAAAATGAACATGGATATGAATATGTGTGTTTTCTTACCTTTATGGTGCCAGATGTCATGTTGGCTTGGTGTCCAGCTCAGAAACAGGATCAGGTAACTGCTACTGCTGGTTTCCTGTATTTATACCATGATGGGGAGCGACTCCTCTGTGCGCCACACTTCTTCATAATGCCAACACTAATAGGTCACGCCAGTATGATAAAACGGGGGCGGGTAGGAGAGTGAAAGAAGAGACTTGCGGATCAATTTTAATCATTCTGCTTCTTTCTGCGAGAGCCGTTAATGTTAACGTAAATGTTTTGCTGCAAGAAGTTGCCACAAGCTATTTCCACTTCTTTTGCATCTTTGCTCAGTGTAGCCGAACAGAAGAAATTATGGGTTTTAAAAATCAAAACTTGTTCTGATAAAAATAACTCAGAGGCAAAAAAATAAATACAATACTGGGTTATTTCACTACCAGGAATGTGGTCCTGTATCTCAGAGGCCTCGTTTGTTCAGCTCCATCACAGATTACTTCAGTATTTGTAGGTGAAGGTTGCACCCCACAGTACTTTATGTTCAGTCATTCAGACAGTTTGAGGCTGTAAATTATCTTTTTTAAAAATGTTTAACTTTGAAGAGCTCCCCCTGGTGTCAGAGCTCCCTCGACTCCCTTTGTGGGTAGTTCGCTTTGTTTCCCCATCATTTGCATTTCGTATACAACTGAAATAATCTGATAGTATTCTGATTATAGTTCCACATACAAAACAGCAGTGGTTAACAATAATGTATCTGTAAAACCAGACCTACCCCCACCTGTTCCAGACCACCCACACCATCTAACTCAATGCATATAAAAAGATAACTATCCACAGGTTGGCTCCTTGCTTTAACTCGGATCTCCATACTTTGAAGCAGAACACTAGGAAATCGAGAGAATGGTGCTCTTTATAAAGTAATTATGTAGTTTGGAAAAGTAGTGTAGTGCTGTATAAAAAACATGCTCGAATTATTGCTTTATTTAAATGCCACTTCTAAAACTTAGTTCAGCTGTCAAATATGGACATGGGTGCTATTGCATTTACATTTTATAAAGAAAAGTTTATGGAAAAGCTTTAATGGACAACCAGTTTGGTTAAAGCAGCATAGATCATGTTGAGAGCAAGGCCAAGAATTACAACTGCACCATAAACCACCCTGTAGCCTTTACAGAAAACTAATGACTCAAAGGATACTGCTTATATTTTATTTAGGCAACAAAGAACCTCTTGACACAGTCATGTCAGCAGCGCTACCTTTTGATCTCGTGTACACCATACCCACCACCAAAAAACAACTCCTCTCCTTAGCTGTACGTTTTCACATCAGCAGGAATTCTTTAGAGACCAGGCTCCAGCAGAATGATGCCAGTAATGTCCCTGATGAGGAAGTCATTCACTCAACATGGCCTGAAAATCTTTCAAAAGCCATTCAGAAAAAAAAAAACAAAACACACATTTAGAACACTCCATAAGAGTGGCCACCTTGTTGTTCTGTACTTGCAGGACCTGTGGGTTTAACATCTCCGTGACGACAGCTCGGTCCAGCTGAGCCAGCATCAGACAAAAGGCAAAAGAAAAAATATGGTTGACTACAGTAACTGCCATCATCACAGCCATTTTTAACTTCCCAAATGGAAATGGCTTTGAGCGTACACAGCATCATCTAGTTGGGAACGGTTTTTGGTTTTCATACATTTGATACACAGGTATGCTGCCTGACCAGTTCTGAAATGTAAGCTGTAAGCAAACCATGCTGGAGGAAGGTGGCCATCTAGCCTTCACCAGTTCAGTCCTGATAAAGCAAGAAGCCTGAAAACGTGCTGTACTTCCACGTGCTGCCATAGATGGCACCACGGTGCAGCCTGAGCCACACCTGGTCTCCCTGGAAAAGAGGCAAAATGGCATGGTTGCTGGCAGTCTCATGATCAGGGGCTCCATCATTGGCATACGCAGAGACCATCACCTCCTCGTTGCGCATGAGGTTAACATAGAGTGGGACGCTGATGGCCAGCTTCAGGATGTGAAAGATGAAAACGTACGTTCCGTTCGCAGGACAGGTGAACCGACCAATGTGGGTGTCGTACATCTCCCCCAGGTTGCTATGCAGTTGGTCGAACACAATGGGCTGGTCAAGGTTGCCGGGTGCAAAGTTGGCGGTGCGAGAGGCAGTGAAGGCCACACGCAGTGGCTGCGAGAGTGGGTAAAGCGGCATGGAGAGTAAGGCTGTAGGCGGATGGCTGTGTGGGGTCAGTGGGACCTCCACTGTCGACACAGATAAGGAATCCCCATGACCAGAGTCCACAACAGTAAAGGCTCCGTCCCGGTCTGGACTGCTCACCTGCGAAGAGTCACTCCAGGCTGCTGCTCAGAAACAAGTAAAAGATCATTTTAGACCTTGAGGACGTCAACATGTTGATGGCAACTTCAGATAAACAGCTGATCTTATATCATCTGACATTTCAGGCAATAGTGAGTCTTATGAAGCAACAGCCTTCGTGAATATGGTAGCGTCAGTTTAACACAACACGTAGAGTTGTTTTTTATTTTTAAGTGATGAACAAATTGAGACTTTCTTGCAGATTGTGGAGGAAATATACACAAGTGATTATGAGCAAATTAGAATATTTCATTCATCAATTCCATTCAAAAGAGAACTAAAGATTCATTACACAGTCATTGCTTTGCTACTTTCAATAGGGCCTCCAGCACATAAACATATCAGAAAATTCTATTGAAAACTCAATAAATGTCTCTTGCATAAATATTGTGAAGCCTACCCAATTATAGGAAGACAGCTGACCTGCCAAGTGTCACAGTCAGTGACACACCCCACACTGAGGATAGGATATAAAATGCCCTCTGACCTATCCCTGAAAAGGCTGGTTGCTGCAGCAACCATCCCTGAGAAGGTTACTTACAATTGTATGGTTAAGTAACGCATACAACTGAAACTAGAAGTTCACACAGACTGAAAAGAGAGACATTTCTTTCTCACTGTGAAGTTAAAATCACACCAAACTTTTGTTTTAGGTCAGTTAGAATTACCAAAATTATTTCTAAATGAGTGAAAACGCAGCAAAGAATTTTCTAAAGAGATGTTTTGTAGCTTTCAGAAGGGTATTCACATTTGTTCAGTATCAGGGATAATTGTGATTTAAACTGTATAACTTGGATCACATCTTTGAGTTTTCTTTCAACAGTTGAGTTCCACCAGTTCTGTCAGGAGGGATGGGTCAGAACTCCAGCAGTCAGATTTGTAGGCCTCCTGGCTGGAAGCACCTTTTCAGATCTGCCCACAACTTCTCCACAGGACTGAGGTCAGGGCTTTGTGATGGCCACAAAAACACCTTATGCCACTTTGTAACCACTCTGACTGTATGCGTAGAGTCATTGTCCATTCGGAAGGCTGGCGGGAAAAACCTGCAGGCCAGCCATCATTTTGACAAATTACAATTCACACACCTGACCGCTATGTGTAGTTGAAAATGTCTGCTCATCTGCATAGCGTGCATCAGAAAGGTAACTAAAAATCATTCACGAAAAGAAAAAAAAATTCCCCAGGAGTATCATCTCTGAACTGGACACCGAGCTAAACGCAGCTTTTAAGTGTTTAATGACTCTTTGCAGGAGTTTTCAGTTAATCAGCTGATTATGGTGTGGCACCATAAGTTTCCATTAATCATCTTTCTCACAGTATTCTAATTTTCTGTGACACTAAATTCTGTTTTTTTTTATTTTTTTTTTTTTTTATTAGCTGTAGACAAAATCATCAAAATTACAAGAAACAAAGGCTTGGAATACATCCCTCCATGATGATTCTAGAAGAGTTTCACTTGGAGATGACTGGCTAGACATATTGCATTTTTATACATCATAATTTTTGAGATGTAATTCAGCAAGTAGAGGGAGATCATGCTGGAATGAGGAATGGATTTTGCCTGAAGTTCTTACCAGAGCTGTGCCTTCCTCCTCCTCGCCTGTATACGTGTTGATATCCTGAGTCCTGAGAAGAGAACAAATGCTTATGGGGTGTTGAAGAAGATTTTAAGTTATAATATCTAATAAAGAAACTCTTTGGCTCGATCTTCTGATTCCAGGTTCTCCCGGCGGGCCACGTGTAGCCACACAAAAACAACGAGGGCAGACGTCACAGAATTGCAGTTTAATCCAATAGAAGACAACACATACAATTACAACAGAAACTGCAGAACAACAGAGACATACATTCATTTACCTGACATAAATGGAAAGAAGGAAGAAAGAAAGAAAGAAAAGCAAAGGCGTCTTTGGAGAATTGCGAGAGCAAATCTAATTTGTTACTTCTGTGTAGAAAGTTTTATAGTGAAGGCGTATTCTTATCTTTAATTTATTCAAATAAGGCGTATCTTTGCTCATCCAACCAGGAGCCATCTCTGACCCTCTCTCTAAAGCCAGGAACTCCTGCTGTTTTACTTCTCCTGATTGTTTCCCACACAGACAAAAGGCAGTCCAACAGATCTTAGCAAACCATCTGCTGTAACTATAGGTAACATAAAGGTCAATAGGCCAGAATAAGTTACTGATTTTAAAACTATAATTAGGCTATTTCAATCAAGACATGTTAAGTTTTAAAACTAGCATACCTTAAATTTATTTTCTTAGCGGGGGGGGGGGATAGGGGAATCCATGGAGAATGATCGACGATGTCAAACATCAACCTAAAATGTTTGCATGAATCTAAGGAGAATGGTTTGTTTGCCCTCAGAATCAGTTGGATATGTCCTTCTGATTGGTCTAATAAGATGGATTATCTCTATACCCGTTTAGGATGCATTCCATCAGAGTTCATCTAGGATCACAAAGCTTAGATACTGACTTACTCTAGCTGGATAGAGAAGAGGAACAGACTCCCTGAGGTGAGCGGGAGGGATGTAGGATCCTCCTGAAGAGAAGAAATCAACCAGGGAAACCTCAGGAAAAATCATTTTAACTTTTAAAGAACAGTCATGTTTATTGAATTCCTTAATCAGAACAGATCATTGAGAAGTTAAACATGCAGGGTGGGGGAAAGAAAGGAAGTGAGCCGAGGCTGGATACCTCTGTGCCAACCAGAGGACCGGTGGTTATGAGCCAGTCCCTTGCCACCACGTGCCATACCTCTGACAGATCCTCTACTGTAGGACTGACTGCTTCGATTCAAACCTCCACCTGTCTGGCCAGGGGACAGGAACATCTGTCCACCGTTAACAGCCGAGTATTCTGACTGATACACTACGTGGAGAAACAAATTCCATGCAGTAACAAAGTGATGAATTTTGCCAATACTTTATAGGCTGCATGAGTCTGCACATACCCATCTGAGGCTCATCATC